CCTTAAGGATAGAGTATTGAAAAAGACCAAGAGAATCGCACACTTGCTTACCGAATATGATTTGCACGAAAATGTAACTGGTGCTTTGAAAAACGGGCATTCAGAAACATCCAACTCCTCCAATTTAATGGTCCCACTTGCTGTAAAACCAAAATCTTACCAGGCTCTCGAATCTTATGTCCACCAGCTTCCTGTTGAAAATGATGGCTATCCTCAAGTGCTTCCTCTCACTGAAATTAAGAACAATCTTTCCCGTCTTGCAAAAGATAAGCCTAACTGAAGTATTTTTCCTAGAAATAAAAATTATTAGGCTTTCTATTCAATCATCTCTTAGAACTGATTGCCTGCCATTTACCTTTGTGAAGATCAGGAAAATCGGTTTTCAAAAATGTAGTTTTTAAACAGCATGCGCAACTTCAAGACACATTTGCATGTCGTTTTTCTTGCACGATAGACTGGGAAGGATTTCAAGTGGGAAAACTACGAAGGCTTGAAAGATTTCTATGGCTTTAAGATGCCTGAGTGGAAGATGATCGGGTGGGTGTGGCACAAACCTGAAGACTGGACAGAAGAGCAATGGGCGTTCTTCCTGATGTGGGCCGAGCGCTCCTGGGATCAAAAGGAAGACTTGGCGTTTTACGTTGAGAAGTGGACGGATGAAGACTGGAAGACATTTAAGACCTGGATGGACGCAGAGTTTCAAGATTACCAAACATATGACAAGTCTTTACATAAGGATACTTTTATCAGGTAATCAAGGACGAATCCTGAAGTTTTTTTTAAAGGGGGTGGGGTAAAAACTTAAAACTTAAATATGCTAAGAAATATTTTAACGAAAGTACATTTGAATACTTCAAATAGAGTAGTAACTAGTGATCTCACTGTCCCAAGAACTTTGGTGTTCGACGAAAGGTGAAGAGACCCACAGATCTGATAAGGTAGAAGGGGTGTGGGGTTCGGTTTTATCTCTTTTTATTTTTACTGCGAAAAAAGAACAAAGAGCTATCGAGATTTTTGAAGCTAATACGTTAAAGTACGAATAACATAAGTTATTGTATAGATTATAATTTCCAAAACTCGTATATGCGGTTAATTTGTTTCATTTTCCAGATTTTTGAGAGCTTTAGAGAGTCAAATATGACATTAAGCCAGTGATTCTAATAATCCTTGGGTCTCAGTAATTTTAGTCCAGCGACATTTATTAATAAATATTCATTTTGTTGTACCTCCGTAGACTTACCCTCTTGTGCTCTCGTTACTATTGGCTGTTGAATGAATGGAAGAACCTCCAGTATGACGACATCGACATGAGACAATACCGTGAAAAGTTGTGTGATCTCTGTGCTGGCCAAGGTGACGAGAAATGCTCCATGGATTCTAGCGTCGAAGATTACTACGGCTACCAAGGAGCATTGAAGTGCCTCGAGAAGAAACATGGCAATGTTGCTTTCATCGATGCCTACACTTTTGACGATACCATCAAAGAAAATTCTTATAGTAAAGACGACTTTGTTCTCTTGTGCCCTGATGGTAAAACTGTAGAGTACACTGGAGCTGATTCTTATGAAAAATGCAACTTTGGTCGTGTACCTTCCCATGCACTCGTCACCTGTAACATGCACGATGGCATATGGCGATGGAAGGTTACCAAAGCCTTGCTTGAAGCTCAGAAAGTCGTGCCACAACAGGTATTCAAAGATTGCATATTCAGCAAGAACATGGAGAGCTTGACACCTATACCATTTGTCAACCAGACCTACCAAGTAAGACTTGGCCCGATGTTCCTTCGTGCCATGGAAAGCCTCGTGCAACCACCAGGTAATACATCCTTCCAACAGAATCTTTTTAATTACGTTTTGAAGGTATTGTACTTAGTCGACCGTTATATATCTTGAATTGGCAGACTTTAGGCCAACGATGCAGGCGTAGGTTAGGCCTTTGCTCGGCTAAAGACATTCTTTGATGTTTATGAAACCCGATGCTTTCACAGCCTTGGTGTCATGATCATGGCCCAATTTTGCTCGCGTGTTTTAATTATGTTTCGAATAATTGTAGATGCATGATTTGGCTATGATCCTGAGAGAATTCCGGCTTATTGGTAACTTTCTGAGAAAATGAATTCGTGTCAGGAGCAGTCGTTTTCTTGCAGGGCATTCGCACGAACGACGTTACGCTACTGATCATCTTTCATGGCATAGCTTACCTCAATTCGATCGTTGCATATATGCTTGTTCCTAAATCTTTCTTCCTTGTATTTCCTCGGCAGTTAAAGTGAAAGAAATGAAATACTACGCTGATGATTGCCTTGGGGAAGAATGCGACGGAGATGAAGAGGACAGGCCCGCCTGTGATGATTGTCTAGAGGGTGACAACATGTGTCTTGAGAACTGCTGGGATGAAGAACCCGTAGAAATAGAAAAACTGCCTTTCCAACAGAACGACAGACCAATGTTCCAAGGCTTTCAGATTCCTAAGAAACCTGACTATCTAAAAATAACAGGAAAACTCGGAGGGAAGAAGATCCTGATGGGTGGTGTGAAAAAGATTACTCTTTGGAAGCCAAAATCCCGGAAAAGCCGTCAGATTATGGGCAAAATGCAAACGAGTACGATGGAATTCGGCATGAAAGGACATATGAATCACCATGATCATATGAGATCCATGGATGGGTTTATGATGGGTTCTCGGCCTGGCATGCGACTTATGAAGCACGGAGTGATGCCAACAATGCAAGGAAGGATGTTTCCACATCCAAAGATGTCTGCCGGACCAAAAAAGTTCGGTATGAAACATATGATGAAGTTTGGACCCATGATGACATCTGGCGTGGACAAAATATACAAGACGCCTTCAAAAGTGATGGGAATGCATCCTTTCAAGCCTTCGTCCAAGTCAATGATGATTACGATGAAGATGATGGGCAAACAGCAGTTCATGAACGAGCCAATGCATGGCGGTAAAATGGTCAACCATTTCATGGAAACTGGTCCACTGATGCACAGTCGCAAATCCATTCGCGGCGAGTTTTACACCAACGTGATCTTTGTCCGTGATGGTACCTGTAACACAATTGTTCATGACCTTACCTGCTTTGGAGAGAAGAGGATCATAAGAATGAAAGCTGGACGTGTCAGCCAAACTCCTATCTCTGTCCCCATGTGTCCACGACCTACTGTCTTTAAGAACACCACCGCCGTATTTACGTGCGACAATGGTGCCAGCTTTGTAAAGCCCATTTCTCTTCCCTTGAAATGCGCCTATGCGCCTTGCAAACCAGGATTCTGGCTTCCTGATTGGTCAAATGATCAGTACTGGCAAGGAGACAACTCGTATACTGGCGGCGATCACTGGGGAAACAAGCCTTGGTGGATGCTTGCCAGGCGACAGGAAAATGACAACTGGTTCTTGGCAGCACGAGACGAGAATCGCGTGTTTAAAAATTCCCAAAAGGGCAAACACTAAGAAACAGAACCAGATGAAGAATGTTCTTTTTAAGAGGTCAAAACATTCATTAAATACCGGACTGGTCAACTGGACTTACAAAAACAGGAATAAAAATCAAAAACAAGAAAAGTACCAAAAAAAAGTTTAATGGGTTAAAGGGTGCAAAACTTGTAGATTTACTTAAATTTTTTCATATAACAGGGGTAAGATTTTGTGCTATGTTTGTTCACTTTTATCTGATCATCGAACTAAATTAATGCTTTACGTGTGTTTTTTTTTATTTTTTATTTTTTTTGCCTATTATGGGAATCACCATATTTACGGTTTTTTCCTTCAACAAGGGCAACTTTGTGTGATCACTTATTTTTGATTTCCCGTATTTCCCGTTTGAAATAGTGTTAAAGTGTGTCGGAATTAAAGAGCATTTCACAAAATATTTACTGACTTTTGCATATATGATACACAAATGGGGAAACTTGATGGCCTATTTTTCCAAGCAGCGCACTCTCGATCATAAGTTCCCCGTTCGCATACCAGGCTGGGATGATCCTTTTCAGATGTTGGACAGTCTCCCTTTCACAACGTGGAAGGATGTCTGCGAACTTTGTGGAACAATTGAAAATACACTTGGGGTAGGTAAAGGGGCGGAGGGGGGGGGGGTTGCTATCGAGTGGCCCAACCGCAAGACTGAGTAGAAAATACTATTAGTCGTGATTTGAGATTTAGGTCCAAAAAAAAAAAGTGCAAACCAACTTGTCTTGAAACAAGAAACGGCTTTCACCTTCCAAGACTTATTGGTTATAGTAATGAATCGGTACTGGAACAATTAACCAAAAACACTCCATAGATTCCTTCATTATGTATCAACTCTTGTGAACAATTCAAAAGACAGTGAGAAATAAGAGGTAAAGTTCATAAAAGCCATTTCCTTTTTTTTAATTGTCTCTTTTTCGAAGACGCGATCTGTTACACAGCTCTTACCTATGCTCTGGAAAAAAAAACGGCTAGATTAGTTATAAGGCAAGGCAATAAACTGTTTTCCAAATAAAGATTTGATAAATCTAAAAATTTCCATTTTGGGATAACATGGCAACGATTCAAAAATGTTTCTGGCAATTTGAGAATTGATCGTTCAGACCAGCAAGTTTTAAAATATGACAGTCGCACAAAAATACAAGAATCGCCTTTGCCACGTTTAGTAAGACACTTTACAGGATACTGACGATATTTTTGTTTACCTCTTTAGTAACGTAAGTGTCGTTACGTCACGTCTCAGAGTCCCGATCTCCCTTTAATTTTTTAATGCCACCAGTCAATCCCAGCTGTGTCTCAGTTTACTTGGTCGGGCTGTGGTGAGCGATTTCGACATTTCTTTATCATAGGATTTCGATGTGATAGTCTTTCAAAAAGTAATCTTTCACAATTCTTGCGCTTTTAGGAAGGAATAAGATTTTCAAAGTTACTTGCGTTACACGGCATGCCTTTGTATATCAAGTAACTGTCATCCGTTAATTTTGACCGCTGAACGAAACCTGGGTAACAGTAGTCAACTGAAATAGCACGGCATATCGCATACGATCTTAAAAACTAGTGACAGATAATGGAGAAATATGTCAGGATTGTTCAAAAGCTTACTTCGTTAAACATCAAATTAGTAGCAGTGGACTTTGATCAAACGATTATCAATATGCATACGTGCGGTGTGTGGCAATTTTCTAGTAAAAGTCTTGTTCCTCGTGTGCGGCCGTCTTTCAAGCAGTTCTTCAAGGCGGCGTTGAGTTGTGGCGACTTGCACGTAGCGATAGTGACTAAATCGCCGCAGATTTCTCTTATACGTGAGGTTATGGAGCAAGCTTTGCCTGAATGTGACACCAGTAGAATACATTATAGAGGCGCAGATGGAGAATGGAAGGAAGTGAAAGGAGTTTCGAAGGAAGGTACTTGCATTCATTTGCAAATTTCTGTTATCGATGGTTTGTTTACGCTATCGAAAAGAGTAGAAATAAAACACCGCGCACTCGAGACACTACTTACATTTCAGTTTGGATCGATTATTACTAGATTTCTTTCTAAATAAGCGAACTCTGTGTCCGGTTCAAACGTCAAACTTTACATGTGCCGAACCAACACTTGTAATGCAGTAACTAACAAAAGCAGAATTGCAGGTAAAAATTCAAAACCGAGAAAGACATAAGTTAACATCAACCTTAACATGTAATTAATCGTTGGCCGTTAACATATCAATGAACAGGGAACAAAGAGAAGCGGTAGGCAAGTACTTTCAGAAGGTATCACGTCATTTTGATAATTTTTATTTATTTTCTCATGCGAGAAATTTAAAAGAATTTTGGGTGAACAAAATAATACCCATATCTCCCCCCCCCCCCCCAAGTCAAGATGGCAAGAATCTACACTTTAATCAAAATAGATAAATGAAGGAATAAATAGATAAAAAGAGTGCAAAGGTTCAAAGTTTATGAGCTTCTCTGAAGAAAATATCTTAATCCATTTGCTAAAAGGATGTCAAAAATTAAATGTTTGAGGAGGAATTGTCTCCTAACTTATACTCTTGCATGAGGGTTGAGTGTAGGTAAGTGATAGCTTTTCCAGCCTGATCAATGGAAATCCAGGACTGACTAATGGCCTGTATCTCATCCAACTGGACTAAGAATTAATCTCTAAAATACATTCACTTGGCATTAGCTGAGCTCTGTGTTTGCTGAAGTCTATCAGTCAGACTCAGGTGTGACCAGCTGTTGAACAGAAATTGGTCTTGTCATTTGTGTGCAGTTTGCTTCTATTACTGAACATGTCACAATAATTTCAACATCATTTAACAATAATATGAATTTTTCAATCCTTTTTTTCATGCAGGAAAACAACAGCACATTCAGTCTGTGATTCAACAGATTGAAAAAGACCACAAAGTGAAAATAAAAAGGGAGGAAGTTATTCTCTTAGACGATGATGAAACAAACATTTCGGAGGCAAGGAATAGTAAAATGAAAACACTTCTTGTGAAAGGAGATGATAGCCTTGATGAGCTCCTGGAAGCAAGGTACAGATAGATGACTTTGAATCCTGCTCATAATCTTCTGTTGCTAGTAAGCCACTTAATTTGTGAGACACCGATATTTTTGTAAACAGAAACTATATTTTAGTCTTAATCCTTAACTCCCATGAGTGACCAAGATGGAATTTCTCCTTACAATATCAATACAATATCAAGCAGACAAGTGATGAGAATGAAGAAAAATATTAATCAGGGAATTATTAGTTGATCCAATACCAAAGTCTCCAAACTAATGTCACAAGAACAATATAGCAGACAGTAAGGAGAATTACTATTGAGATCTAGGGAGTTAAATACTTAAGGTATTCCACTTCCAAGTATAACAGGATGATCTGTAGGTTTGGCAATTGATAAACCACCTTATTCCCCTTAAATAGTAGTGTTCCCACTGGTAAGCCCCTTCACCCCTCTTTCCTTACCACCTTTCTCTTGATCTTTTGCTTTTGATAAAATTACAGTCACAATCAAACAAGTCAAGAACATAATTGTAATTTTTTTGAGTGCCTTCCAATGTGATAGAAAGTGTTCCTGCCAATCAATTTGAAGCTTTAACATCCCCCCATCCCCTTAGGAAATATACAGGCATTTAACCATTGTCTGTTCCCAGGAGGGGAATTCAAACCTGAAGTGCCAAGTCTTTCCAGCTGATTACATATATTTTATCTTTAAATGTGGATATGTTTAAAGGTAGAAAGTTCACCTTTGCATGGGAATGGCTCAGAAGAGATAGTTTTACGAGGTCTTGGTTTTGAAGCTTGGTCTACAGTGTGTGTGTAGAGAAGTACAGTTGCTGATTTTGCCTTGTACAAAAAATAGACCATTAAATCTGTCATTTGGGTTGGGACTTGAAGAAAGGAATTTGAACAAGTCAATCTTCGAAAGTTTGAATGCCCTGGGGTCATCTGGGGGGGGAGCAGGAATGTTAAAGCTTTGAAATGATAGATGCTTAACCAAGATGTTATGGTTACTATTGTAACTTTCCATTGTAACTACTGTGTGGATACTAAGATGGTATCTTTTTTATCTGTGTAAATACTGTATTATTTAAAATGAAAATTTTATGTGACACGTTTATGAAATATGCTGGAGTGTGATGTGATTAACACTATTCATTTAAATGTTATGATCTGTAGCATTACTAATTGGGCTTATTATAAACTTTAAAGAATGAAAAATGTGCTTTAGTGTTATTATTTATGGCACATTTCATTAATTTATGAGCAGTTGTGTTCAAGACTTGTCATAGAAGGTCCCTTTTTTATGCTACAATTACTCTTGCTAGAGACCTCTCAGTAAATGTGATGACAATTTCGTCAAGTTCAAAATGCTTGAAAATTTTGTTCCACTCCATTTTATTTTTTTTACTTTGGATGTCTTTTACATTTTACATTCGCGTTGTGGTTTCCAATGCTTATCTCATGTTCTCCCAACCTCCCGCGTGTTTACATCAGGCTATGTGAACACGGAAACATTTTACATTTCTTCATTGGAAAAGTGCAATTGTTAGGTTAGCTTTGAACTTCAGGGTTTGCATGTCATTGTAAGGTACTTCAGTCAACACATTCTGAACATGTCTAGCTGAAGGCTAGTGGTACACCATACATTACATTGTACTTAATGGTAATATTTCATAGTCACCTTAATGTCTCTTAAGTAATCTTTATTTTGCAATTTTCTCTTCCAAATAAAGATTCAAAAAGAAATGTGGTGAAAGAATATGACTCTTTTCTTGTGTGGCTTTTTCCAAAAGAGTCCGTCATTTCATTAGCTTGTTTCCTTTGCTGTATTCATGAACTTGTTATAGGTGCAGTAAGAAGTCATCAAAATTTGAGCTGTCAAACTAGAGTAGCATTTTAAAAATTGTATGTTACCAAGTCTCACTTTTATTACAACAAATCTTTTTAGGTATTGGAGTCAAGTATCTTCCCTTTGAGTGACATCAGAATTGCTCTTGTACTTTTCAAGAATGTTTTCCTGGATGCTCATTATCAGCTGTAATGCAATATCAATCCTTTTGGGGAAAGTAGTGTTGATAACAGAGTTGCACATTGTGGTTGTGTGTTGCCCAGGACAATTTACACTAATGGGGGAGGGGACACCACACTGGTTTGGTGCATTATCATTTTCTTTCATTTATTATTGTAGTAATGTACTTGGAAAAAAACACGCACTTCTGATTGGCTGAAAACTAGTGCATTTTTCATGTAACATGGGGGAAAATTACAAATAGCGCAAGATGCTTTTTTCGTGCAAATTAATTAATGATAAGTAATGACAAGATTTCTCATGTAGGGAATTTAGCTCTAGAGGAAGATAAAAGCATCAAAAACATTTCTTCTTTTCCATTTGTCTATTTGGTTATAGATCAGAAATTACTTTGAAATACGATATGAATACACAAATGAGGAAAAATATAACTTTCTTATTACGTCATTCTGAACAACAAGTGCCCTCTATGCAACGACCAATCACAGAGCCGAGAATTAAGTTCATTTTATATCGTAATTACCTTAGCAGTTGAACTAGCTTGAGACTCATAGTACTAGTACTTTCACTAAACATACATGGCTGTTCTAGGGGGGTGACAACCATTAAACATCAGGGTTACCTAAGGGGAGTCCCTATAGGTCCAAATAGTACAACAATACTGTTGAACTGTCAGGAAAACCTGATAAATGCTTGATGTTAATGACATGGTGTGCCGTCTGGAGGGGGGACGGGGGGGGGGGGGGGAAGGGCGGACGCTCCGGCATGATGCACCCCTTGAAGATTTAGCTCATTTGCATTATTTGAAACTAGCAAATTATAACCGAGTATCTGGATCGCAAGTGTCACTGCTGTCAGAAATGAATTGTTCGTAACAAGCATCATTCTCGTCCAGTTTGTCGAAGTCGTAATAAGGAGTGTCTTTAGTCATCATTTCTTCCAGCGTTTTAATCACGTCCCTGAATGTCGGTCTTTCGCAAGGATCTTCCTTCCAGCATTTCAGCATTAACTTGTATCTGATGAGATAAAAGTGCTTATACTTATTGTGGAGCCTGAAGCTCTAATTGGAAAGTGAACTGACATCTGCCGAGTTTTCCCTGGGAAATAACATTTGGGTCGCTGGGACTCGGCATCAAAACGGAAAATAGTTTATCTTAGATTTCGAGCAAATAAACGCTTAAAAAGGGGATTTTCTTCATATAACACATGTAAATTTTGACTCATACGATTATCGTTGAAGGCTTCATATGGCTTCTCAATGACTGGCAAAGAGAGTCTTTGACTTTCAAGTAAAAACATAACTTACAATGCTCTGTGGTGTCTTGAAGCAGTCTTCCAGTTAAATGTAAAGCAAACTAGCGAGGTAACTTTGACATCTGTCATTAAAAGTGATTCTTAAACATACAGCCATAGGCAAAGCTACTCACATTTCGTTAGAACACATGTCTGGTTTGTCCATCCGATATCCAGTCTTGAGAAGATTGTATACCTCTTTATTGCTAATACCAGGATATGGAATGCCACCTTTTGTATACATAACGGATCAGTTAACAAAATACCACAAGACTTATTAAGATCCAACTCTACTACACAGCTACACTCTTCTTATATCTTCTGATAATTACAGTTTAATGTCTTCCAACTCGTCTTGCACCACTATTTCAAAAGTCTTGCACCACTATTTCGTACTTAACAATTATTCCATTAGCGTGCATTGGATATAAGTTGGTAAATAGCCAACGAGGCGCGTGGCGCCGAGATGGCCATAACCAATCTCGTATCCAAAATGTTTTTGGAAAAATTTATTGAATCCGAAATGTTTGGATATTTAACGCCTTTTTTCCTTTCCGCAACAGTTGGGTCATACATTTCCATATTAGGTGACTCGGAATATGAGCTGATAACCGGAGTTGAGTGAACCAATCAGAACACTAGAAATGCAACATTCGGAGTTGAAAGTTTAATGATAAAGTATGATTTGATTGTAATATATATCACTCCCTGTGGACACAGGAAAAGTGAGCTAATTGAAACGAAAACCCCATAGTCCAAGATACTTGATTTTCGAAGAAAACTGAGAACTCAGTTTGAAAAAATTCCATCTTAAAAATAATAATTTTCGAAAAAGAGATAAATGCTGTTTTTGTTAGATCTTCCATAAGAACGATAATATAATCTCCTTAACGTATGTAATAGTTAACGTTCTATCGTAAGGCACAATCACAAACAATCTCTTACGTACCCATAGTAGCCATTTCCCACAACAGAACTCCGAAAGACCACCTAAAAAGTAATTTATTTGATCAAAAAAAGATTATACTTTTAATTAATTTCACTAATATGCAGCCGAATTTACGCAAAGCTGCATTCGCTGTACCTGTACTTATGTGTCGCGAGCATGCTTACCTAAAGTAATTATTAATTGAGTATTTATTTATTTTGCTAAATGAAAAAAAATTGAAACGTTTCATTAGTTGTAATAAACTAAAGACCTGCGATTTGAGACCTCAAGCTAAATACCTACACGTCACTTTTGGAGGTATATCTGCCGTAAAATAGCGCTTCCGGTGCTGACCATTTGATTGGCAGTTTTTTCATCTGGTTCACTTCGTATATTTCACCATATGTGCGACGTAACAGTCCAAAGTCAGCAATTTTAACAGTTCTGCCCTCACCGAGAAGAACATTACGGGCAGCCAGATCACGATGAACAAATCCTCTGCTGGCCAAGTAATCCTGAGAGTGCGTTTCGTTGAAGAGAAGGCGTTAGACTTGGCGGTTATTTTAAGCATGGCAGTAAAAATGTCAGTATTTGGTGCTGATTGTTTGTAATCAATGAGTTTGCTCCCTTTTTGAGATATAATCAAACACTAACAAAACCATTTTGACCAAAAGTGTTGATGGAAAAAATTAATAGAATCATTTTTTTAACTTCATCTCCAAAAAAACTCTCATTCTAAGTCTCAGAAAGAAAGAAACAGGCCACTCTTGTAGTGCCAATATAACACTAATCCCATTCTCATAAATTCATAGAGTAAGATTTGTCGTTTTTGTCATAAAACCAGACCTCAACCTTTCTAACATTTGTTCTTATTCAACGGTGAAAACATTTCCAAAATGCTAGACTTTAGACAATGATCATTTACCATACTTCACTGTATTTACAAGAATTTCAAGGTTTCTCACCATTCCCTGAGTTATTTGCCACGCAAAGCAAAGAAGATCTTCGGCGGAAAGGCCTTCATTATTATTTCCGTATTGTTCATTGCCAAGGGAAAAGCTGATGTTCACCTCGCTAAGACGGATTGCATTTTTCTCAGTTTTCTCGGAATCCAATGAAATTGCGTTTTCATTCAAGCGAGTTTCTTTATCATCTTCTATCAACTGATTTCTCCTTGGCATGCCAATTATTCGTGTTGCCCCATTGTTTCGCTGTTCACAAGTAAACGGAGTTTGGTCGCCTACGGCATATTGATGCGAAGAAATATACTAAGTAGAAATGAGAGGAGCAAGAAAAAAAATGGTTGGCAAAATATGTTCATCATTGGCGAGAGAATAATTCTCATGTTGGTGAGGAGGGTTTCCGGGATCTCACCCGGAGTATCGCCGCAATATCCACGGTGTACATCCCGCGATCGTTTCGGGATCCTGCCCGGAGCTGCAAATTTACCTCTTTGTAGGCCTGTCCCTATTACACTCGTAAAATGCTGGAAAGTTGCTGACTGGAGTTCCAAAAAATTGCTAGCAAATTGCCAAAAATCCAAAAAGTTGCTACCTAAATTTCAAAAGTTGCCTCCTAAATTTCTTGATATATTCTTATAGTTTTCGTTCTCTACAATAATAAACCTAGCTTCCAAGAGTTGTTCGCAAATAAAGGCGACTTTTAACTATCCATTTCCGTTCATGAAAAATAAATTAACGATGAAAACCATTTTAATATTAGATAATAGGCCTGCGAAGCATTAAAGAAATTCGCACAAATCGAAGTTTTTATGAAATCGTTGATTTTTTTGATAAGTTGCCAAAAAGGAAAAATTGCTTGAGGTTTCTAATACCGCAAAAAATTGCCTTGAACGCCAAAAGTTGCCGAGTACAATCGCGACAGGCCTACCTCTTTGCATAGCACTGGGATTGTGCCCAAAAGGCCCACTTGTACTATCACCGCGATATCAGCGGTAAACCTGAGGGGATCGCTCGTGTATCCCACCCTGAGTCACATCTTGGATCCAAGCGGTATCCTAACGGTATCTTATAGACATATGGAGGCACCATGGGAGAGTGTTGTTTACCTGTCTTTTGTTTCGTAGCCACTGAAGAAGATCTCCATGCGGAACATACTCGAGGATAAGCATAATTGGTCCTGACCTTTCCCAGTAGCCAATCATGCTTAGCACATTCCTGTGAGAACCAATTTTCTTCATAAATTCAATTTCTTGCAGAAACTGTTTTTTATCTTCATTGCTCGCTGTATCTGAATAAGAGTTAAAAGAGATTAAACAAAATTTTCAAGGTGTACGCAAAAGTACCCCATGTGACATGAAGTGTTAAAACCCTTCCTTTTCAATGCTACTACCTTCTCCCTCCTGCAAACCCCTTCCCCCCTCCCCCCACCCTCCTTCCAACACCATTAGAAAATAATTAGGTATGTACCATTTTCCCTCTATCTCAATTATATCGCCCTTTTTTTCGGAATTCTTAACCTCTTTCCTTTCGAACACCTTGCAGTTTGCCCGTATAAGAGCTCCGCTAATTGGCCTTAGACGTGCTGAAAAAAATGTTCAAACATTTTAAGTTCGAATGGCCAACCATTTCCAAAGGTCTCAGGCCACAATCGCGCGCGCTGAAATCTGGACGTGGCTCTGTTATAACATTACTCCCGTTTCAATTCAAATGCCTATCTCAAATATGACGTATCCTCTTACCAAGTAACACTTTGACAGCAACAATAGTTTCTCTCACTTCGTTGATTCTTTCCCTCTTTGGTTTATAGAAGACTTCAGATTTTGGTAACTCTCTCAAGACTCCTTTGTGAACTTTTCCAAAAGCTCCCTGTCCCAGTTCTTCTAACAGAGTTACCCTCTCGGGGATCACTTCCGATTGCAATAAGTGAACGATTTTAGATTTTGACTTTGAAAGCGGTCTAAACATTTGGAAAGCAAAATTAACGATAATAAAGTTAAACTAAATCACGATGTGATCCTCACAAATTAATTGCAATTAAAGAAACTGAATCGAGAAGATGTCTAGAACAAGTTAAGACTTCGACGAGGTTCGAACCTGCCCATCCAAGATACTAACTGGGCACTATATTAACTGAGCCACCGGGCTTAAATGGTGTGAAGTATTTATCTTGCAAACCTTTGCTCCAAAACAGAACGAAGTTGTCTCCTTCTGTAGCAAAACAAGCCGACAGCTACCGCAAACACAGCTGCGACACTCCCAGTGATTATTAGAGCTTTTAATCTTTTTTTGTCTTTGTAACTGGTGTTGTTATTTTGCTCGTCAGGATTTACTAGAATGGTTTGGTTAACTGAAAGACAATCAGTTAAATAAATAATTGTTACAGCTGTCCACAGCAGTGGTGAAAGGCGAGTTTTTATTGTGTTACACCTATTATGTAACCTAAAATGAAGGCCTGTAACTCGCTTTTGTAAAACAAGGGGAATCAATTTAATTAGCAATCTACAAAGGTAAAAACGAAAAGACGACCGCAGCATAAAAAAGGCACATAAATTAATATCTGGCATTACAAATTCATTGTATTTATTTCGTTAATTATTTATTTATCTTATACTTAGACGCTAGTAAATAAAAATAAATTAAATAGCTCAACCAAAAAACCGATGCGATCTCGACAGAAATCGGCCCCCTTACACAAGTTTCAGTTGTGGAGCGAGTTTTCACGGATTATGATTGCGCGGTGCATCAAAGCATCTTGGTCCAACATAAAACTCTTTTTTATCATAGTTCCTCAAAAAACAATCTAAATATTTAGACTTTTACAAAGCCTCCCACAATAGCTTGCAGCCTTCACCAGGACACATTTCTCCTCAGGCCTCTATTCCCTTTCAACAACAACGTTACTGGGCCCAGGAACGGGTTTATGATCTCACATGGACCTACCTCCTTGAGTTCTGACCCTCCATAGTTTACGAGGGATATCTTTATCAATGTCTCTCGTGGTAACAGTAATTTCATACTCCTTGTAGGATTGTAGCTGAAGATCATAAGAAGTTACATTTGAAAAAACAGCAATTGCATTCCAGTCTTTGGTCTCGATTTCCCTGTAGTGGACAAAATACATCTTGATGTTTGCCGGACATGACGGCGGCTCCCACTCGACGTTAACAATGTCTCCCTTTGCATCAGTTAATGTGACGTTTATGACTAGTGCGTGATCTATGGGATGACGAGAAATTGTTTATGAAGCGTGGGACTTACCAATATAGTTATGTTTCCTTGTTAATCAAAAATATTATAAAAAAATCCTAGCACAACATAATAGGCTATCAACCCAATTTGAGCTCTTTAATTAAGGACAGTGTATGTGTCTTTCTTGTTATTCAACACTGTAATAGGACAGTTAGCGTCATATTCGCGCCCCGATGTTGTAATTTTCGCCGAGTTGTCAGTTTTTTTTTGTTTGGTTGTTTTTTCATCATTAAAACCGATATAACCGATGGGTAGTTTTTGCTTAACTTTTTTATTTTTTTTTTATAGTTTCGATTTATTGGTAACAGGATTACATTTCGTCTAATGCTGTCTTAGGTCAAAGTCGTGATTAAATTTTGGGCTCCGCGGTCGTCCGATATTGTTAACCACTCGTATGAATACAGACCGAATTGAAGTCACGCTGGTTTATTTATTCACGAATCGCGCTCGCCTTCCCGAAAAATTCATCATCACAGTTGAATTTTGGCGTTCATCACACAACACGTATAAACCTTTTCCACCCTCTGAGTGCAACCAAGTCACATCTAGAGAGTGGAAAATTAGCTGAGAAAATTTTGAGAAGTCTTTGAACCAGTCATTGCGATTAGTGAAATGATACACGAATAAATAGCTAGATAAAAAATAATCATAAATAAATGGATAATTTCAGTAAAAAATCAAGGATTACTTTCGACATTCAAACGAAGGTTGCTTAGTGCGGTATGTTTATCTCACCCTTGTATAAGTCGTAAATCTCGTCTGGAGTAAATGCTACTCCAATGACGTGAAGATCCATTACCGATCCAAAGAACTTTACACTTCTAATGCTAAGTCCTCCGTTGGGTGGCAAACCTCCAATGTAATACAACTTGTTCAAGCTACTCTGCTCTGCCATACTTGAAAGATAGTTGAAGAATAAATTAGAGGTGTTTCTTTTGATTAAGGCTATTTGTTCCACTCCATCAATGTACAGACTAATTTTTTTCTCTTGGCAAGTTGCAGCCAGGTGAGTCCATTGGTCAAAGTGTATTTGTCCCGTCGAAATGATTAGCCTGATAAAGGAATCGCCATTGGAGCCCAACATCTGTCCACAAATAAAATGGATCTTTCCCGCCGTCTGCTTTGATAATGATAGGAAAAGTGGATTACCGTCAGTGCTGATGGCTGTGAATACTACTGTGTTACGTAGGATGTCATCATGATGGCCGGGGATTTTCATCCAAAACGCAATTGTGAAATCACAGTCAGTGATATTTGTAGTGGGTACTGTCGCGTAGGATTGCTCCGCGAAGAAGTCTGCCGCCTTGGTACGTGGACAGCGTCCTTTTGCAAATCTCACAGAACTGGAGAAACTGTAAGTATATATCATAAACAAAGAGAAGGAAGAAAATAAAACAGCATATTAAGTGCTTTCCTGTTGCGTACTTCAAGCAAACTTACTTCCCTCCCCTGCCATTGAACTAAAGGAAGTGGACGGATCCCACGTTTGAATTTTCATATGGTGACCCTTCCAAATTCACTCGCCAAATGAGGCACCTGGTCATATGAACTATGAAAAATCCCACGAAGAAGTCCCTTCTCTCCTCTCAGCCAATGTGTGCAGTAATCTCTCACTTTGTACGACTGAGCTTTCAAAAATAGTTAAAGGAATGATGAAAAAAAAAACAAACAAACAAATCAAAATGGCACAACGTAAATAAAAGTAAGAGAATAGACAGTTAAAGAAATAAATAAAGATAATGGTGGCATCTTTACTGACCTCACGTCTGGGTCTGAACCGTTTAACAACCAATGCCCGTGAACATTGCGCCCTGTAAGAATCACAAAGCGCATTTTTTGTCAAAAAGGTCGGAACTCTCGTGTTTTTATTTCTCTCTCTCTCTCTCTCTCATTCGCTCTCTATCACACTATTTTTGCAAGACAATTGTAAAAATTCCGCACATCACAAAACGTTGTAATCTTGTCCTTCTTACAGCATATTTAGAATCGTGTGAGATTGAACTGCAGTCCTTGGAGCATACCTCGTAGCGAGTGAGCGGATACTTGCGATCGTTTATGGTGAAGCTGTGTAGAAAACAAGATGCCAATGAATTGAACATACGTTATGACAATTCTTCAAAGCACCTCTTCCAACATCATACACTTGCATTAATCTGTCATTTTCCCACATCATTTGATGTTGAACATCCGCTGTAACCTTAAATGAACTGTCTCATATTGCGACTATCGTAAACTTTATCATAATCAGAGCATTTCATATTACACACAAAACAAACGGTCCCCTTGCCATTTCCGGTTGTGTTGATTAGTTCATGTAAGATGAAAGCATACGTACCGTAAGTGTTATCACCGTTATGATCCTGAGAAGTGTCTCCATGTTCAAAACCTTATAAAATACAATACCCGGCCTTTAACAATTAGTTAGGGAAATTTTCTATTTAGATGTGAACGATAGAAATGGCTCCATGAGGGCAAAATTCATAACCTTCATAGTAGTTTTATACGTTAGAGCGTGCATGTATGAGTTATGCAAACTCTTATCGTTTACCGTACTGGCATTCATCATTCAATAAACGCGGCATGATTCACTCGTAATCTGCTCGCCAGTGTAACAACCTTCTAAAAATGAAAGAAGGACGTGCACTCAAAGGATCTGAAATCATTACCATCCTGAATGTGATTTACAGGATCATTACGTTGCCGCTCATTCCCCAATCTTGAAATTCAACATCAGTAGTTATTGTTCCATATAGCTGTGTTTATCATAACCTCTCCTCTCCACCTTTTGTTTCAAAGTCAGTTGAAATCATTACCTTTCTGATTATGATTTACAGGATCATTACGTTGCCGCTCATTCCCTAATCTTGAAATTCAACATCATTAATTACTGTCCTATATAGCTATGTGTATCATAACCTCTCCTCTCCACCTTTTGTTTCAACGTCAGTTCTAGTCATCATTTGCTCTGTTTGCTGTACTTGCTGTGCCTGCTTATGTATTAGTTGATAGTTTAATTTTAAACTTTTAAAAGCATGGTGTTAGCTTCATGTAACTAAGGACGCATTTGTTGCCGATAACCGCCAAGATAAACCGATTCTGTTTGCTGGTTGTTCATGTTGCAATGTTTGAATCTGTCTTAATAATAAATTTTGTCACGTACTCTCCAACCTCCTGCTAAGGTTTATACGAGACGGATATGGAGACCGGACCAGTATATTACTACACTCTGCTTTTTTATCTTCGAATTTCTAGCGTGTACTTAATTGCATTTTTTTTCGATATTTATACGCGTGGAGACGTGCAGAACCCTAGTAAACGGACGGATTATTTCAAGCGTGTATACATGCTTGTATTTACCTCTTTTTAGATGGAGCACGTTCGTGTAGTTCCGAAGCTTCTCTGATTCGGTGCCAACGCAAAAAAACTTATGCCCCTCAATTTTTCTCCAATTCCTACTCTGGCTCACCACTGACAGTTTCATGCGGTTTCATTGATGTTCATATCTACGTCGGTAATTTCTCGAAGTGTGTTTCTCTGGAAGAAATCGATTAATTATGTGCTGTCTGCTAAAGTAAATTAGGATTGTTATCTTCAGTAGAAAAATCTTCTTTTCTCGATAGTAGGAGGAATTTCGGAAACTTCTAAAAATATTTAATATCGTAACCTTCAGCTACTTACCTCAAACGTATGAAGCAATACAGGACGTTGTATAATTAAGCAGCTCTTGTAAAAGCTGAAGGTGACCGAAACAAAAAAAGAGCACATGCATCTCACAATTACATTTGCATCTAAGTGCGGATGCATAAAAAAAGAATCCGTTTACATTCAGCCACAGTGCAAACTTAGGAAATGGTTTCAGACATCAAACATCGTTTATCTTACAGACGTCTACCTTGGAAACAATCTGCTTCGGGGGCATTTCAGGAAGCTATCTGTTTGTTTTTCTTTAGTTAAATTGTAAAGTACCCTTCGCGTCGTTTAGTAACCATAGACAATAGATCTTATCCCCGAATCGTGACGCCGCTGGCAGTCCTTGATACTGTTGATAAGCAGAAAAGTCATGGACATCTCCGCTTTCTGCTATTTTTTCATTTACAAAGGGTTAAATTGCGGATAACCACAATTTGTGATTCATAATTTTTGTTTTCTTTTTGTCCTTTTTTCCCCCCCTTTCTCCATATTAGAGATCCTAGTGCATGACATCATTTGCCAGCTGTTCAAATTAACTGAGACATATTCTTGGAGCTTCTGGAAAAGAGCAAACCCAAAAAGCATCCAAGAAAGCGATTTTCCGTTTTTCGTTTCAATGATAAAGAAAGTGATTGGTTTCACTTCAAAAGGAAAATAAAGGAATACCTATGGCCAACTCGTGCATGCTCGCACAATAATCTAGAGATGAAACATGGTTGGGAACTTTCAGCAATGGTAGGTTGCACTTATCCCACAGGCCAAGCTTTCGAAAAAGTGGCTGAGATCCAGAACTCTGGAAACTATCGAACTCCGCAGAATAATAAATGCATAGATAGTCTTTAGAAACAGCACAAAATAGCATCCTGCGTTTATCGAATTTTCGTTTCCAAAATTCGTCAAATTTAGACGCGGTGATCCAATCTTTCTTCAACTACACAAACCAAATTTCATTATTTTCCATCCTTATGTCACGTTTCGCCTCACAATTGCTCAATAAACATTTGCATTTTAACGTATTTATTTTTGCTTACAGGGTTTTCTCCCGCTTGCACCTGATACCAAACCTCTAAGTTTTCTGCCTCGGAACGAAAATACCTCAGAACGTATTTTATGCGACCGCAAGTCTTTTTGACTGATTGAAAATAAACATAAGCGGCAGTGAATTTCACAAGTTTTCCTTTGTCAGAAGAGCAAAGGATTATTTTCGTCCTCCTCAGATAGATCCAGCCGCCAATGTTTACATAACGTACTTGAATTCAATCACGGTTTTTGTCTTGCGCCAGGTTTTCTCGCTTGCAAGGTTATATTTAAAGCAACGATGTTTAGCATTTAACAAAGTCACTATGCGCAGTGGTTTCGCGCTCGGGCGAGTTCGGGACGACTAATTACTACAGTGTCTACCTCTCAGTTAGTGAGTGACTATTTTCATATCGGAGTCTCCATGAAGACTCGTTTGCACAAGTGAAAAAAGAAAAATTCAGTAAAAAGCAAACAAAAATATCAATGCGCCACATATATAAACAGCGATCTCTAAACCTACATACAAAAAGCGTTAAAAAAATTACATTATTGTTAACTGTGAAGGTTGTCATTTTTTACTAACGGAAAAGCTAATAATGGGAAACTTTTCAGTCAACTGAGAGACAAACTCAGGCCATACATTTGGCATCGGAGTCGATCGTGAGTGGGTTTTCTAGAACCATATCGCACTGTCTCGTCAATAAAGACCATGGGGATGGGGCAGAGGGGCAGAAACCAAATTCTCATCGCACTACTCTTTAGTGAGAGTCATCATAATTTCACTTCCCAGCAACCTTTAGGTTAACATGGTTACTACTTATCACGATAAGATTCTGTTAACTGCACATGATTACCAGCCAGTATCGTCAGAAAATAATTGAAGGGGGTAAGGGCAAGATATGTTTTTTTTAACACTCATGATGAAAATGTGTTTTCATTTTCATCCTTTGACAGTCTTTTTTCTTTTTGGGGGTATATTGTATGGAAATATCTTTTTGATTTAATTGTTCACTGGGAAATTTTTCCACATTGCCTTTGGCCCACCCCCTCCCCCCACCAAGATCAAGCTTCTTTTCCCTTGAGTTAAAGGTTGGAAAGGTCTCCCTAAAAATTTGATTGGCTTGTTCTGCACACAGACATGCAGCTTGAGCAGATGAGTGAAAAAAGACAAGTTAGGGGAAAAATGAAGGTAAATTAAAGAGAGCCTGATCTTATCTTCTAGTGGTTGCCTGCTAATTTCTCATGACCCAGAATTTGGCATAGGCTTTGTATATTTAATCAGTAGAGGGTTCAGGTAATTTTTTTCTAGGCTCAAATTTACATTTGCTTTTCACTGCCCTCATTGTCACAAGGTTTTAAGTTATTTGTCACGATGTGAATTTTGCACGGCAATGTTATTACTCTTCAGTGATTATTTCAGTTTCTTCGACAAGGTTTGAGATCTTGACAACAGCAACCCAACCCTTTGAAACTCTCTGGAGTGGACTTCTTAACAAGCTACTATATCTATGCAAGGTTGTCATCAGAAAATGTAACATCTATAATCTGAAATAGGCAGGTTAGAAATTTTATTAAGATTTTGAAATTTGAAACTCTCTGAGACATGATTTCCAGGATTTTGGTACATACCTGTGTAAGGTTTTTCAACATACATTAATGTTGGAATCAGTTAAAAAATAGTCATTTTCAGATTTGATCACAAATCACAACATAGCCAGTGCAAAATGGTCTCAGCCAGTTGGTTTCTGCTGCCTTTCACCTTCTAATGACAAATCTGTCTAAATCAAACCACAAAACTTAATGAAGAAATATTCAAAGTTTTCTCTACCTTACTGATAACAATAATAACAGAACATCTCTAATATTGTTGCTATCTCTTTCTTTCCACATAGCTTTGAACTGAGAATTGTGATTTAAAAAGAAAGCATTCCAAGAAAGTTTAGGGTTAGTTCTTTCTTTGCACTAATAGTCCATTTTACAGTTGTGTGCTTGGTTGCCAAACCTTTGAACAGGAATGAGGCTAAGGGTGACCTTGTTATGATACAAACCTTGCTGCTTTTCAAATGCAAATTACTTTGTTATCATGCTAATTGGATACTGGTCTCTATCACAACAAGGTCACCTTCAGCCTCACTTCAAATCAAAGGCTTGGCAACTAAGTACACAACTGTAAAATGGCCTATTCCTTAAAATGTTTCAGATATTGAACATTAAAAACAGTGAAAAAAAAATTGCTGTAGGCTTATTCTAATTGCTGTTGATTTTGTGGGAGCAGTGCAACTATTGCACTTGATGGAGGAATACAATGTAGACCTCTCAAACAACCAAAATAATTCTTAGAGAGAACTGTTCCACAGAATATGTAGTAGTTCATGTCGTCCAGATGTTAGTAATTGCACCAATTCACCAGTAACCTATCATGGGTAAAGTTTCCTTTCATTCCTGCTTCATACTGAAGACATTTCATCCTAGGAATCATAATTGTTGTCCTTTACTTGATTCAAGTATATGCACCTGATAGAAGTGCAAATACACCACCACTTAGGAGTAAATTTCTAGAGTTGATGTGACAGTGTGACGGCACAAGGGACAAGTCTGTCTGCCATATCTCTGATGACGAAAAAGCTGTGTGCAGCAACTCTTGCACATACACATGTGACGGCATGGCATGACGACAATATTCTTATTCTCTGTTTGGCACACAACACAAAGGTTCTTGTCACGTTCTCTTTCGAGTTCTTCTCTAAGTCCATTGTCTTTTTCATCTGCAGAAAAATGGTGTGATTGCTCTTGAGTTGTGAAAATCTGTTTTAATCTTGAAATGTCAGGACCCTGTAGGGTGGTAAGAAAGGCTAAAAAAGCTTGAATATAGTTTTCCAAAAGTCTAAATGCCCTAACAAACACATTTATTTTCAACACAGACCATAAATAGGCAAGCAAAAATGTGGTTGAAACAAGACTCAGGAGAGTCCACTTGCCACCTGGAACGCAATGTGCTGTAGCAGTCATGAGATTGTAAAGCTTCCTGAGGCAAAGAAGAAACCAAGTACTTATCACATCAAAAACAGTACATGTGAGTGAAAAAGCTTGATTAATTAGCCATAGAATAGAAAAACAGATTTTATATAATCCTTGCACAAAGAGCTGGAAGATAAAAGTTATAAACCACACAAATGTGTTACTCATCCAGAGAAAACACTTTCCTATTGCCATCAACAAAGACTGCATGCCATCGAGAAGCAGCTTCGTAAAGTTTATCAAGTTTTGGTAGCAAGAAACTGAACAAGTATGCACAGCATTCCCAACGAATTCGATTCCACGGAAAACTGATCTTGTAATTGCCCATAACAGATCAACTAATAGTACACCTGTGTTCCAGATTGATACTAATGCACACTCAAGTACAGCCCTTATACTTGTAACAATAGTTGTCAGGGCTGTGCCAGGAGTTCCTAAAATGTACTTCCATCCGAGGTAAGACCTGTGAAGAAGCACTCCAGTGGCATTCTTCGCGAGGGATGCACTGTGAAAGGCTTGATTAAATCCAGTAGGGATTATAGACACAATACCGCGAATAAGGTTCAATAGAAAGCGAAATGCAGAATATACCACGTTGATTGTCCCGTCGATAACATAAGTAACTGTATCTTTGATGTACTGAGCGATCCTGGAAAGACATGCGAAAATGGAAGACACAAAGTTGTAGTTCAGTTGCAAGATCACTCGAACGCAGTAGCCGAGATACTCCACCAGTTTGATAGCGTGTTTGAAACCACTAAAGACGTTGGAGATAATCTGGCAGGCAGTGATAACTACAGTATCGAGTACAAAATAAACTGCGTTCATCAAACTGCGGAAGAACCATAAGAACCAACGAATCAAATCGAGAAGAAATGGAACAGCGTCGAAGAAGGGATAAGGAAAAGGTTTGCACTCGTGGTTGATTTGCTCTTGGCTATCTCTAGTTGCCACTGCAGTGTAACGCAGAAGGAGGAAAACGGCTGCCAATGCATAGAACTTCGCCATGATGTTCGAACATTACATCTTCCACAAATCTAAAACGAACTCTCCTCAACTCAAGCCCAGTCTATTTGAACGCACTGTCAAACGATGTGGTTCTTTAGTGGGGAGACTGGAGAGAGAGATTATATTTTACAGTTTTTCTCTTCGATACAAACTATTAAGAAGATGTTTGTGTTTTTTATTTTATTTTTTTAAATTTAACTTGCTTTGTATTTCTTTAATTCTCTGTTTTTTTTTTTAATCAGAAGTTCTCATCTAGTATCATACATTACTCACCCCCCCCCCCCCCACCTCGCCGCCAAAGTGTTTTAGTCTCCAGTCTCATCTGGGTTTGATGATCGAAGGCCTTGTCAAATTTAACACGTAGACAGTTATATTGTGGCTAACCAGCACTAAAAACAAATGGCCGAATTAGCTTTGGTAAGAATCTCCTTGAAATTAGTATGGGGACTGATCGCTAATCGAGCGATCGCTAGATTGGAAACTGGAAACCCAACCGATGAGAAGTTAAGGCAACTCTTATTGAGCGAATTCCGCAAACTTCATGAGGAACTCGATGCCTTGAGACGGAAAGAGCTTGTAGCTGCGGTAGCGTTTATGGAGAACGCTTACGAAATCTTGAACGATGACCCAGGAGAAGCAAGAAAAGAGTTCAACAAAGCGAGAGATGCAGCTCAAGTTGCCCTTGGCGTGGTGAAGGAGTTGAACGACAAAATCTTGGCAACTAAAATCATGATCGCGTCTGCCATTCACGAGTTTGTTGCGAAACCTGACGTCGCTGCCTCTTTGTGTATGAAGTACGTATCTCGCCTGAACTCCCTTCCTATGGTCGCGAACGCTTCTTGTGCTCAGATTTCACAGAAAATGGGTACAAAATGGCGTTGGGGAGGCAACGAGGCAAGGCAGGAAATGCTGGGTAAAATTTCGGAGGTTAACCGTTGTGTCTGGCATTTTGTCACAGATCAAACCAGCAGTAGTAAATATTTAGAGAGTGAATGCTCGCATATCAATGTCGAAGGAAGACTGGTGAACCCCATGACGGACTTCATCCTGTTACGTAGTCGTGTGGAGCTCACTACTTTGAAAGAGGGTTTTGGTACGCCCATTAGCATGGTAGTCGTGGAGAACAAGATGTTCTTCGCTCAGACGCAAGTTGCCGCCTCAGGCAAAAGTGATGCTTTTCTTAGCAATGCCATCAAATCTTTAGATCTGGAAACTGGTTCTGTGTCAGAGTTGGTTGGCCATGCAGGGGTTGTCTTATGCCTAGCTGTGGCTGGGTGCCATGTGGTTTCTGGATCATTTGACAAGAATATCCTTATTTGGGATGCAAAATCCTGCAAGTGCTTGCACATTCTGACTGGTCATCAAGGGTCAGTCAAGTCATTAGCATTGAATGACTTGCACATATTCTCTGGTTCCACTGATTGTACCATCAAGGTTTGGGACAGGGTCACATTTGAATTACACCACACCCTTGAGGGGCACAATACACCCATTTCAGCCTTGGCTGTTTCTAATCGGCATTTGTTCTCCACTGAAGTAAATGGACCAATCAAGTATTGGGACTTGAAGAAATTCATATGCCTGCATGATATCAAATCCCCTCAGAATGTTAGCAAAATGCACATCTTGAACAGCAATTTACTTGTGGCATTTGATCAGAAACTGTCAGTCATCAATTTGGGAAACTTAAAAGAAGTTGCTGTTTCTAAACACCCAGCAGAACTCTCCCTGACTATTGGAAGAAATCTTTGCACAGCATCAGAATCCACTCTGTCATTACTGGATTTACTTAACATGAAAATCATTGGATCAAAGGCTTTCGAAGGTAGAGAAGCACCATACAATGTCAAGTGCATGTATTATGATGAGATGGCAGGCTTCTTGTATGTCACTGCTTTGTGTACCACGGCCAACTCCAGGGAAAAATATGTTGTATTTAGATTTTAGTCTAGACCTCCTTCAACTCATCACTAAGTGAATTAATGACTAATTTCAGTCTTCTAATTGCAGAAATTTAAAAATGATCAAATAGGATTTTCATTTGATAAGCTTACTTGCTATCTTTCAACCTTAATGGCAAAAGATTTAGACTAAGTGCAGTCCTTACTATTTGGCAAAGTCCATGTAGGAGTCACCAAAAATTCATTTTTTTTTTCTTAACTTGCTTTTTGGACTTCACCCAAATAGGAGGGGCCTGCCTATAATCTAGAAGAAAACATACAGTGAGGTGTTCATCCGCAGACTACTTTTACAGACATAATTTCATAAAGTGCAGAAATTTGCTGCTTGGATCATTTCATACAGTTACTGTAATTCCTTTGAGTTTTTTCAAGAAAATAAGAGACATCATGTGGCCTGTGAGATTTTGTAAATTTTCACTCTCTTAGGTGTAACTTTAAACTTAGAATTCACTATTTTCAAGCTCATGTAAAAACTTAAAATGTTGAAATATTTATCTTGATTCATGTACTAGGTCTAGCTGTTCCAGAATCTTAAAAAAAAAAAAAAAAAAAAAAAAAAAAAAAAAAAAAAAAAAAACAAACAAACAAACAAGAAAAGAAAAAGTAAATAAAACTACAGGACTTTTTGTTAGGGCTGCTTGCAAAATTTCCTTTGTGACTGTTGATTACTAACTAGATGAATCAGACCAGTGAAAATGATGGGAAGTTTTTTTTTATTTTAATGACGTTTTCATTGTGATGTTCCTTCTAGAGTAGTCAATTGTGCTCTCTACAGCAACTGAAATTACTTTCAACTGTTAGAATACCTTTACATAATACAATAAACAACAGATATTGCAAAAATAATCAAACTATAAATTATGTTTATTAGTAACCTTACAACTTTCAGAGTTAGCTTTCTTGATTGTTTTGAAGGAGAATTAAATTGATCTGACTAGTGCAAGAGATGTTCTACAAGATATTTCTATAGTCTGTGATAATTACAATTGATCAATATGGGTGCTAAATTTTCCATCAATGAAGCAGTTCAAGACCTAATATTTAATTATTCATAGCAAACAAAGTGCAAATTTCTCTCTCTTTAAGAGAATACAGAGTATGAAAAAATAAAATATATATCCTTCAACAGTTCAAGATCTCAAAGAGGTTATCTTCTACTTCTACCTTTTGAATTAATAAAGAATTTTAAAGAAACAATTTTAACAAGGAAGGATGAGTTCTACAATGAATTTCCTCTAGCCATGGATTGTATCTAGATGAACTCTCTACTGATTATAACCTTTTCTCTCCCAAGATTTCATGACTAATTCTCCTTACTGTAAGTCATACAATTCTTATAATGTTAGTTACGATAATTTAGTATTGGATCAACTGATCAGCTCCTAAATTTGTATTTTTCTTTATTCTCATCACCTGTCTGCTTGATATTGTATTATTACTGTAAGGAGAAATACTGTCTTGGTCACTCATGAGAGTTAATGGGTTAATGGACTATTATCACAGCTAACTCTTAAAATTGGAAAGCAAACTGGAAGCTGTATTCATACGAGCATAACTAGCAACAAATTCCTTCCTATCTTTCGGAGACATATTCTTATTAATAAGTAGACAAACACTTGTAGTATTTAACTTTAGTTCTCATTGAAAACTCTCTGACACACTATGTTATTGTGGAGCACACAACACTACACAGCACTTTTTTTTAAATCCTAAATTGTTAGTCTGCCAATAGATCACACCATGATTCAATCAGAGTAACTTTCAAAACCAGCACTCTTTTTAAGTTTACAGTCTACAACTCTTTTGTTAGGGTTCGTTGAGTGTTCATTTTGAGAGTCTACCACTACAAAATTATCACTTGTAATTCTGCTAGAAAAATATTCCACTGATTCATGTTTCATAGATTTGTTGCAAAATAAATAATAAACTACAAGTTACTTCTGCAAACAGTTAATCAAAAATCCCACCAAGATAACCACTTCAGCCTTAACCCTTTAACTCCTAAGATTAGATTGTTAATTCTCCCCTCTGGCGACTACACATTTCCTTGTAAATAAAATAATAGAATTTGGTGTTAGATCTGGATAAAACCTTCTACCTGATACATTTGAGTACTCTAATACCTGTTTGCTGGAGAGCGTATGAATATTAATGGGAGAAGTTTCATGTGAATCACTTCAGGGATTTAAAGGGTAAAGGCAAATCTTTTGACAAACCACACAGGGTTAGTAAATGTTATCTGTGCTGAAACAACAAAAATATGTATGAAAAAAATTCAGCTCTTGTCTGTTGACAAACTTGCAAACTCCATGACTAATAGATTTCAAAGCAAAACAATAATTTAACTTACTCATCAAAGACACCTCAGAAGAAGGAAAATATAACTCTGTATTTAGGTCTGAAGTGTAAACAGAGAGCTGTGACTGACAGACAATCATTACCCAAACACAACTTAAGAATACACTTCTGTACGTAAATCTCCTAGTTTTAAAATTAAAAGGAAATGACAGTACCTGTTACAATATGCCTCAACAAATTGTACGCTGAGAGGCAGATTGGAACCTTGGCAATACAGCTCTAACATGGCTACAATTCTAATTTCTTGCAACAGTTCTAACACACGTAGAACAGAATTTAAAAAAAATTCAAATTTAGTGAAAGATTTGCACATCAACTAATGATATACTGCCAGATTCAAGGCTAACATGTATCAAATGTAGTGCAAGGCTTTATAAAGGAGTATAAAGAAGCTACGTCTTTAGTTTGTAATCCAGATAGTTTTAGACTTCACTTGCATTGATAGGGAAAAAAAATTGTATACTTTAATGTCCTTTGATGTATTTACCATTTCTTCTTATAATCATCAACACTAACTCCACCAGGGCCAAGGGCAACAACTAGGAGCAAACCACCAATAACTGAAGTGGTCTGGAAGAAGTCGTACTTTAAGAAATCTCTCAATGGTGACTGGGAGTGGTACATCCACCAAGGATTCAGATAAACATTGATTATGGCCAAAAGAAGCACTAACACCAATGACGCAAGTTTGGTCTTGTACCCTACAGCCACGAGGACCATCAGAATTGTACCTAGTACGTCTTGCAAGATGTAGACGAAAGAAAATCTTAACTTGATCAGGGTTGCAAACATGAAACCAAGAAGAACGCGACCAGTTAGTTGAAGGTATGTTTTAGGGGTGTTCCCTCCCATGGTCGGCACTCCGGCAAACAGACTCTTCTGCTCAGACCGAGATTCAGCCAAGAGAAGTAACAAGGCACCAGCAAGAGCAAGGTTTCTAAAGAAAGAGAGAAAATAAAAATGGAGATGTCAAAACATTGCAATAACTTTTTGTATCCAAGATACAAAGTTAGTGTCAGCAGAGGACAACTCTGTCAAGCTGATAAGTTTGTCAATTTCTATCACCTTTCTTCCTGTTATTGCCTTGATATTGAGATGAACAGCTGCACGCTAGTCACTTTTGTCAGCAAATGGGATAATCCCTTCACTTCTAAGGTTATGGCAATTCTTTGCACTGTCTATTATACATTTATTATACTAAAAAAAGCTGAATTTGGGAAATAATAAAACTATAACCCCAAATAACAGGGTAATTAAGTATTATCAACTGATTTGATGACGTAAAACTCTTTACTGTGGCCAATTTACGTTATCAACTCAGCTAATAATACTTGATTACCCTGTTACACTTTACAACTGATGCAGCACCACAGTTTCTTTGGAACCTTACCCCCTTTATTCATATATCCCCAAATTGTTACTTTTTTTCTTTCTTATCAACTTTTGTTTGAAAATTAATTGATTTTGCAAGGAGACATTTTTTGGTCAATCCTAGGCATGAAAGGCCTTGGAGCCAGTCAATGAAAAATATTCCTTTTAAAATCATTTTTATCTGTTTTAACACATAAATAGTGAATCAGAGGAAACAAACTTATGCAAGAAGCTTAATGGTTAAACAATAGAAGCATCTTTCCACTAATTGCCAGAGAGAGAACAAATAGTAACATTATCCTACCTGAGCAAAAATTTGAAATCCCACAAGATACTGTATGCGAGGGTCTGTAAAAGAAAAAGAGAAAAAGAAAAAGAAATGAGCAATTAATAATTTTGGGTTGGAGCGCAAAAAGAACTTAATTCTAGGTTTGCATTAAATTACCGTAAATTATTGATTATACAGTTTGATCTCTCAAAGGCACTCGACAGAGTAAAATGAAAGAGATATAATTCCTTACAATTAGTTTCCTCTTCGAGTCGATGTAACCCGATATTGCAGAGACTTAAATAAGAAATAAGTATTTAAAATAGCTATTATAAAGACAGATTCACCATACATAGAAATCACTCTTTGTTGAGTGATCTTCTGGAGACGTATAGAGGAGTTTGAGGGGGAAAAAATAAATAAAAAAGGTATACACGAGAGAGGCAACACTTACTTGGACTACAATAACAGAAGATAACATTCCCACGGCGATTTCCACTTTTTGCCGGGATAACACCATTACACAACCCGCTAACTGGGCGACTAAATTGAAGAGAACGAACATGGTTCCGACGACTGTTCCACAATGCCACGTTTGATCCATGTAGTCACGCTGTTCATCCCACTGGAACCACATACGAAAGCCATCTTCGAAGAAAGTCGAAATCAAACAGAATCGCGCGACATGAGGAAGCACGTGTTTGCTGTTTCGAAGGATCTGATCGGCAATATCTTCTGCCTTGCTTATGTACTCGCTGTAAGGCGACGATCCCGCTTGGGAAGACTTAGACATCTTGTTTAGAATGAAGAGACAGCATAAGAAATGGCGGTAAGGATGTCCGCGCAGAAGACTGTAGACCATAATACGCCACGGGGTTTTGCCACGTACTCTTTTCTAGTTGACGTCACAACGAAGACCTCGTATCCGGTTTAATTTTGAAAGAAACTTGAGTGGATGGAAAGAGAGGCAGGTGTGCGATCAAAACATGAATTACAAGTACTTTTTCGGTGTTGAAT